AAATTACAGAGCCTCAGTTTCTGTAGAATCACCTTTGAAACCTCCATAGGATTGGAAATTAATAAAACAGAAAATATTTGACATCTGTCTATAGTATTCCTGGGATTTCTGAACGAAACATTACTATTAGTAAGTCTGCCACTATGTTTACACATTTCTGACATGAGGCAAAAACAGAACTTAAAATCTGGTTTAACACAGAGGTAGTCAGAAATGTGAAGTTTTTCTCAGGACCCCCAAAGAAATGGAAGAGCAGTCCGATCGTGTAGGCCCTCACAGGCCAACGGGAGGATGTGGGCTCTCATTGTGAATTTGATGGAAGATCACTGAAGGGCAGAAGAAATGCTCAGATAATTTTTTTTCACAATCTTAAGGAGAATCAATTCTCAGATAATTTAAGAGCATGAGAAAGATGTCCTTCTATGACAACAACAGAAATAAACCTTGGCTTCCCAAGAAGTAATTTCATTGTGCCAGAGCTTCTTAATCCACACTTTAAGGTCTGGCTTCCTCCTTGACCTTTGGACCTCTCACCTGTGTTATCTGCTTCATGCACTCCCACCTACCTGGGTGTCTGGCTACTGTCTCATCTCTTTTTACATTACAGGCCTCTTTCATTTGTTTCAAAAAGGTGAGCAGGTCCAACTTAGAGACAGCAAGTTCTATTTTATTAGAAAAAGTCACAAGAATTTTGCTTGACATTCTTCAATATTCAACACAGTATTGTACTCAGTAGAGGAAAAAGAATATTACAGAAGACTCTAGAAAATTATTTTCCTAAATACTACTTTCTGACAGACCCTGTAGGAGAACTTTAGAAAGCATTTAAATTTGTGGATCCTGTGCTTCACTTTCAAGCATGATTGAGTCAAAATAAAGAGGGAAGAATTGGATTTTAAGGTGTAGGCAACAATAATTTATGCCACTGAATTTCCTGGATCACCACTAAACTACAGTGAAACCTGAAAATCACATCGAGAAAGAAGGTAAATATTGAGGTCAAACATAAAGGTGTTTTTTGGTGATAATACATAAACAAACCCCCAATTTTTTCCTGAAAGCAGAAATCTTAAACTCATTCATAAAAAGCACAAGCTCCCAAGAGACATTCTACAAAGGAAAGAAATAAAACCCTTGGGGTGTATTAGATATTCCAGAGGTAAGTTATTCTCACCGAGAAAGACCAGGTTCCTGTAGGTCTCCAACATCACATCCCTATACAAATTCCGCTGAGCAGGGTCCAGGCAGGCCCACTCCTCTGGAGAGAACTCTATGGCCACATCCCTGAATGTCAGCAGTCCCTGAGAAACAAGCAACAAACAAATAAATAACTCTGCCATGGCAGAGTTCTTAATTTAACTCAAGATAAAATGAGAGTTAAGAGTACTAGCTCTGACATATATGAGTGACCTGAATTACATAAAAACATATATTTTAATACACTGATATTCTTTAAGATACTCCCTACCTCTGTGGAAAGAGAATGGCAAAAGATCCACAAAATTAGTGTAGACACTGAGCTTATACAGAATATAAAACTAAAGCATCAACACAGGAATATACATTTTTTTTTGAAACAATGTCTCACTCTATTGTCCAGGCTAGAGTTCAGTGGTGTCATCATAGCTCACTGCAACCTCAAATTCCGGAGCTCAAAGTGATTCTCCTGCCTCAGCTACCATGCCCAGCTAATTTTTCTATTTTCTGTAGAGACAGGGTCTTGCTCTTGCTCAGGCTGGCCTCAAACTCCTGGCCTCAAGCAATCCTCCTGCCAGGGGCTACCAAAGTGCTAGGATTACAGGTGTGAGTCACCACACCTGGCCTAGAATAAACATTTTTGAGTGCTATATTTACATTATATAGAATCAGTTGTATATATTTCTCAAATGGAAAAGGCCATGGTGAGTTAGAAGCATATTTCTCAAATTTTATTGGGAACAACAATGAACCGGAGATCTAGTTATAAGGCAGATTCTGGTTCAGGAGATCTGGGTGGGGCCCGGATTCTGCATTTCTAACAAGCTCACCAGTGACGCCAATGCCTCAGGTCTAAAAGCCACACCTTTGAACAGCACAAAGGTAGAACTCTGAGGGAAGAAATCATGAATGATGTGGAATTGAGAGTTTTATGAAATATATAGGTTATAACATAATAGCAAGAATAGCAGCAATCCTTTTTGAACATTTACTATACACTACATGTCATTCCAGCAGTTTTTCATTTATTAATGCATAAAACAAATATAATCTATGAGAAAAATAATAGTATTCTTATTTTATGAGAATATTTTGCCAATTATCCAGCAAACAGCAGAGCTTGGGTTTTACCCCAGTTTATCTGACTTTGAATTTATCTCAAAGGAATAAACAGGCCACTCTACAAAGACAACCCCAGTGAAATGTTCAGAGCAGACTTCACAACTGACAAGAGTAATGAAGACAGTTACGAAGGCAGCAACACAATACTGATCAAATAATGCTTACATTTTATGCAAACAAATACATAGAAATGGTAACTACATACACAGAAGTGATAGAGTAGAACGTTTTTGTGTAAATAAATAAATATAATTCATTGCAAAAAACTTACAAATGTCTTTGCTGATGATTTTTTAAAACATACTATGGAGAACAGCACATACAATGATATAAACTAAAGAGCTATTGTTCCTGAGCCTTGTGTATTTTTTTCAATTTTTGGTTTCATTTATTCTATGTGCCCTGTTATATTTTAGAGTTTTAAGATGCTTAATTAAATAATATATATGTTAATTCTCATTCCCTTTCTCTGAAAATATAGGAGTAATAAAAAAGCCCGTTTGTGACATGAGAAGTGAGAGGAGAACACTTCTGTGTAAATAAAGAAATATATTTAATTGTAAAAAATGTATAAATCTGTTGGCGATTTTTAAACATACTATGGAGACCATGACACACAATGAAATAAACAAAAATAACGGCTATTATTTCAGAGCCCTGTATTATT